GTAATATATATTTACAAAATTTAAGATGGATTTGTTCTAGAATATCTAAATTTTCGTAACCCCATACTACACAGGAATGAATTAAAGTAGGTTTTACAATGGTATAAAAGTTCTAGTTGACAATCGATTGGTAAATTGTGGTACATGTATCTACATTTTTGAAGTACTGCATACATTGATCTAGTTCCACGATTGCATAGATCTTTACGAGCTTTTAAAAAACTTCCAGATTTAGCAAATATTAAACCAAGATATTTGAATTCGTTAACTATTTCCAATTCCAGGTTAGCATATTGAAAGTTTAATTTTTTTGATAATCTCCCTTTACCAAACACAAGTATTTTAGATTTTTTCGGTATTAACATTTAAACGCCATTGATTACAGTAATTATAAAATGAACGAAGTATAGATAGTAAACATTTTAATTACATAGTTACACTCACTAATATTTTAATTATATGACGAAAGCAACTGACTCAAGCCAATTACACCTCAGGTTACATAGAAGCGTCGGTGAATGAGGCATAACAAAAGTCTAGCACCCTCTCATCTATCTCTACTTAACTGAAATCAAATATACTTTCTCTTGTGTAATAATAGAATTACTGCTATTTAAACACGTAACATAATATATCCCGTATCAAAGATCTCATGTTTATCTTCATCATATCATCGTGACGAATAATGAACATAGCTGGATACTATTTTACATAACTAGTATGATCATTATTATTACATACTTCATCTTAGACCTAACTACCGTTCATATTTTATTAGATTCGATTCTAATGTTTTATTATCTATTAGCTTTGTACGTTACCTCTACAGTAAGGTTAACACTGTCCTTCTTGACTTTTCATTCTAATAACCTTTGCTTGACCTCTGTTTTAACCATTCACGTGACTGCCCTTTCCAGCGACGGGATAATGTGACGCGAACAATAAGTGCATTTCGAGACGTAATATTTTATTTTTCTAATTTTAATTAGACTGATACTTCATCATCTCAGTTCAACCAGCAGATGATTTTTCTTTGGATATGACATGATCTTACTACACGTTGTGATGTCATATAAGAAACTCATTTATTGTGCAAACTTTGCAATGAAACATTTATATATTATAATTACGCTGTCAGTTTAAGTGGAATCCTGACATTTATTCCATCAAGCTCTCAATTCTGATATTTCAGTTTTTAACACATATTGTAACTGTTATATTTTCTTCTCCAGTAAATTTTGGGTGGGTTCTTCAGATTACTGTTATCAAGAATTTATGTTCATAGTAAATGACAATTTAAGATTTATTGTGAGGTAATAGGGGGAGGCAAGATAATTTTTCTTTAATTTCATACAAAAAATTTCCTTAATTGATAAAGAATCATGAATTTTGAGCAATATATCTTCATTTAGTCAATAAAAAATGACATATATCAAATAAAATGCTTGAGATAAATCTTACTAAACTATCAATAATACAGGAAGATAAGAATAATCAATTACTGTTCCATTTGAACGTTTTTATCATTATAATCCTCTTCAAATGACATAAAATCAATCTAACGTATTCTATGAATAAATCCCAACTATTTTTTCAAGTGGAAGAAATTATTTTTAAAACATTCAGGAATAACAGAATCATTTAATTACAGATGACACTTAACTCCTTCAAATATTTTTAAGAACCGTTTCAAAAATTGGACCCACCGTTTCGTATAAAACGTTCAAAAGTGTCGTTTCAACATGTGGACGGCGCTTTTACTACGTTCATGAAGATACTACGGTTTGCGTTTAAAGACCTGTATAGCGGTCAAGATGCGTTCTAAAACAGATCACCGAACCTTGGCGTTTGTTTTGAACACGTCCAAACAAGCTGTCTGGCGTTTCCACACGCTTATACCTAGATTAAGGCGACCTAATTCATTATGAGCCAATTTACAGTCCCTACAGTTCAGCTTCTTTTTAGACATGTCAATACCTCTGTAAGATTGACTGAACTATCTGCATGTTTCTGGGTGATATAAACGAATTCGCTGTTGTTTGTTTCACTACGATTTGTTCTTTATTCCCATTGTAAACGGTACGGGAAAAGTTTGCACCCCTCATAGAGAACATCTAAAATCACTCGACGATCGATAGATTAGACTCATTTCACTTTTTTCTTTTGGTACAATTTCAATCCAAACTAAGATTCTGAAAAATGAATAAAAATATCACTATTTTCATTTCTAATGTAACACTTTGAAACGAACTAAGCATCAAGTGGTTTGATACAATGCCTTTAAACGTAGCAGGAATGAATTCCAGGATTGGAGTAGTTTCCTCCCCTTAAATAATTTCTGTCTCTTGCTTACGACTCCCTATATAATATTATACAATACCTAAAAATTTATGTCGATATTAAACACATACACTATAACATTTATTTCAAATTGAAAGCAGTTTAATTATTATACTTACCACGATTTTTTCAATTTAATTATCATATGTTTGGAATAAATAAAGGACTATCAATTATTGTCAACTAACGAACGAAACCCGAAATCCAAAAACAACATGATGACGAAACATAGCAGCTAATGAACTTATCACACGAGAAATTATATCGATCATAAGTGAGTAAGTATTTCGTAATGAAAAGTGGTATCGGTGTCTAGAAGAGTAAGCATGCCATTCATTCCTACTCATAATTCAAAACCGATTTCAAAGTTTCAAGGGAAATAAGAGATGAAAAATAATTGACCAATGTGTTCAGGAGTCCCCTTTTTTCCACAAGTTCTGGCCAAGTGATATTGGTATGCCCACATTAGAATTATATTTTCATCAATGTTAACACATTTTTAGACTATCAGTAGCCTACTCTAATGAAGCTGATAATTTTAAAAACAAATCGTCAAATTCGATATACCCACACTGTGCAAAGACAAAAGAGCAATAACATGGCAATATGCTTTCTCTATTCAGTATTAATACGTGAAAATTTCAATTTGTCAATACTACTGGAGTATTATAGTGCTACTCAAAATATCACAGAAAGAGTTGAAGCCATTAGTTCAGAACTATTAAACACCAGACATCTACATCGATCTAGTGACGAATTGTTCAAGTTAACATTCGATCTATCATCAGAATTACTTGTTCTGGTATGAACAAACTATGACCATAAAAACTTCATCATCGTCACCGTTTATTGTCAACACACAAATCTTTTGTGCTAATCAAGCTGGCTAATTCGAGAGAGATTCCGCTTATTTTAAATGCTTTTATTACGTCCAGTGGAGAGACGTTCAATACGAATGACTGTGGAATTGAAAGTCAATAAAAAAAAATACTGATGACAACCGGCTGGTTACCAAGGAACACACAGAGAAGGTAAAGATGTAAAACGGGCAAATGAAAACTCCAGGAGACCAACTTTTGGTAGACCTAGTAATTGAAAAGGTCCTCTAGCATAGCATTCCAACTTCCAGCATATCCTTCAGATTTAATATACATCAGACAATTTATTACATTTACTTTGACAATAAGGGCCAAATAGTTAGATTCAACTGAATTGAATTGGTTATAAATGACCAAACTATTTCTCAGGCGACACAAAGAATTGATAACAGGAAGAAAGATTAATATCAAAGTTTCGAGAAAAATCTTAATATGTAAACTCATTAATTATAATAAACAATCATGGTTGGTACAACTGGACAAAAATGTATTGTCAAGAGAGGCTGCAAATATCTAGAACTTATCTATTTCAATTATGTTTGCTACTGCGGCACATTGCAATACGTTGTTTAGTCTATTTACAAATTTTATTTTCTGTCGGGCATTTCTACCCACTTCATACTGCCATTAGATGTTGTTTATTTCAGACCTATGAAAACTGAATGCCGAATGTAATTGAAAGTTAGAAATGTCTGAAGTACATGTAGCATACATATAGGCCTGTACCGAAAAGTGAAGTTATTAAAAGAGCTCACAGTCAAACAATCACAAAAAAACATCTGCTAATGTTAAAGCTATTTTAAGCAAATATGATAGGGCTATTTACCCTTTTCACCAAATGAAGTTTAGAAATGAAATGAAATGAATGGAGTTTTACGTCCTACTTTTCTGCACCTTGTGGGCTAATGTAGACGGAAATGAAGATCAAATTGAAAATGATGCATATAATGGCCTGGATGTCAGTCTGGTAACATTGTCGAAAGTAATGAGATACTGGCAACAAGGTAATATCGGTAGTAATGAGGTACTGACAACAAGAAAAATCAGAAGACCAGAAAGAAAGGCAAGAGTGACTTTGCTGACCAAATTTAATAGTTCAAGGGAGATAACCGAAGACACAATTTCTATTTGAATTCATTTGCCACCTATTTCCATGATAAATCACGAAATCAGGCCCGTAGCCCCCTAAATCAAATCAAATCTTAGAAAAATGTACCGGTCACTTTAAAATACACCTTTTCTTTTTCCTGAGTTAATAGGAGCGGCAGGTAACTGAGTCTGAGTGAATAGCCAACAGTGGTCAGGCATTTTATGGTGGAGTAAGTGCACCAGTCAGCTGATCTTGCATTGTCGATCATATGATGAATATTTCGATATTTTGATTATACGTAACGAAAAATAAGTTTATGGCTTTCAGGGCTGCGTTATGCGAAATGGTTCAACAAAATACTAAGTATTCCTATCAGTAGACCTACTTAAGAACTGTTTTTAAATATCTTTCTGTTTATACTTAGCTGAGGATGAAACCAGACATCATAGCTTTTCATAACATTTTTAAATTTAATTACATTAGAATAGATAATTTGATACAATTGAGTTCGTTGAAAATCATAAAAAGGCTGCAGTAAAGCGTCATAGGTAACAAAATTATTGGTCTGATACTGGATTGTAATCTGTCCCGTCTCAAAATTCAAAAGATTTGATTGGTTGATTATAAATACTAATAGACATATATTATCCTAAATTGTATTCATATGAATCAAACAACCAAACGTAGGAAAAATGGATAAATATTTGATCAAAAAAGACAAATTGCTTGATGGTTCCGACACTACTACGACTGACAATGGTATCAAAACCACAACGGGAAACACAACGGATGCAGTACCAAGATGCTCTGAAAAGACAGGAGTACCAGGTGACATCGGAAAAGAAGACGTTCCAAAGCAACCGAGAATAAAATTTCCAGCGAATTCTGGTCGCCAATTTAGTAACAGCTGGTATGATCGATTTCCATGGCTGGAGTATTCAGTGTCAAGGGACGCGCCTTTTTGATTTCCATGTCGGGTGTTTCACAATACATCTGCGGGTGCATAAAAATTCATCACTGAAGGCTACACAGATTGGAAGCATGCTGTAGGTGATACTGGAAAGGGCCTCGAGAAGCATAACAATTGGGGTGTCAAAACAATTTCTCCAAGATAACGTTGCCAAGACAGAAAATCCAATCTTGTTCTTCAAAAACTATACGAGCAGAAATTGGCTTTCCCTAAATTATATGCACTGGCTGCAAGCGTTGCCACATTCGGTTCTAGTACCGCTGTGTGTGAAAGCAGCTTTTCAACTCTTACTCGCGTTGACTCACCACAACGACGATCTATGACTCAGCTTCGCCAGAGCAATCTTGTTCTTCTTGCCTTCAACAGGAAGCGTACCCAAAAAATTAACCTGGACGTATTTTTTCAACGTTTTGCCATAAAACATACCCGACTACGTTTATACTAAAACGGCAATAAAAATGTAACGTATTATAACTAGTGTGTTTTAACAAAAATAATCTCGAATCTAAAAAACTCCATGAAAGTCCGTTTCCCGACGTTTAATCGTCTGTTAAGGTGCTTTGCTAAATTGCCCCCCTCGATTGCACGTTTGAAAGCAACAGGACTGTAAGGGTGGTCCTTATTTTTTTATTTTTGGAATGTATGCTTCTCACCTCTGGAAATTGTTCCTTCCTGTGAAACGGATTATTGACGTTCTGGTAAAAAGCCCAAATACCAACACGTGAAAGACTGCCAAACGAAGGTTGATAAACTGTTTGAGAAGTGGCGTCTTCTGAAAAAGAACGAAAAAGACGATCTGGCGCACAACCTTACGGCGAGAGAAGTGACCGGTCTTAGACAAATCTTCTCAGTTCAATAGTACGTTAAGGCTTGGACGACGGCTCCTCTTGCAGCATGTGCTCCTTACAATGAAATCATTGGTTAAGTATCATTGTTGATACGTATTTTTCAATTTATGTTTATTTCCCACATAGAGCGGGAGCTAGGTGGAGTTTAATCATAAAGTTGAGCCCAAAAGGTTTGATACCTCCATTGTGAAGACATTACTATAGGACTTCAAAATCAAGAATTCTTAAGGTCCCCGCTTTGTGCGTTACCTAGGCACAGCTCCTCAAAGATCCCACAAAAACACGTTTAATCAAAAAATTGAGCCATGGATGTTTTTTTCATAAAAAGTAACTATGAAGTGTGCTGATCACAAAACTACATCATAAGAACACTTCAGGTGGTGCAAAAGGTGCTTAAGAACACCTTTAATTAGGGCTAATTAGCGTTTTAATCAAACTTTTGATCCAATGAAAACTTCAATGCCAACATCTTAATTATCCAGTTTTTCAAAACACATGTAGTAAAAAGTTTTAATTTGGTTTAATTACTGCACAAATAGACCACAGATAGGCCCTACTTTATTTCCGATGTTTATGACAGTGATCTCCCTTGAACATCAAGCCTTATGTTTTAGTTTGTTTACATTCTTAAAGAGAAACTTAAAACTAATCTAATCAATAATTTTAGAAATTAGTAACTCTTAAATTTGTGCATGTACTATTTTCTTGAAAGAATTGTTCTATGGATAATTCGGAGAGCATGGAAACACCATCAGTAAAACTAAAAGACTGTATATTACACCTGGATAGTGGAAAATCTGACAATTTGGAGGAATTAGTAAAACTCTAATCACACCATTGGGAAGTCATTCAACAATCCGCAAAATCAAGATCAAGTAAAACAAATTTCAACCAATCTAAATATTTTGATGTTATTGCCTCATTGCCAGTGGAATATAACTCTCAAAAAGGATATCACAAAAACTGTTATAAAAATTTCACGGCAATTTCACACAAATCTGTAGATTCAGTTGTATCCACCCAAACATTGTTACGTTCAACCACAGACAGAGCTGAATCAAGTGGGAGTACAGGGGGGTTTGAAAAAAACTGCATCTTTTGTAATTCTAAACGAAAGAAGAAAGGTGATAAATTTGAGTATGTCGGAGCATGTCAAACCAGAGATGCTGAAATACTAATAAAGAGGTCAGCAAATATCCTGAAGGACAATAAATTACTTACCAAAATTTCATCCATTGATTTTGTTGCAAAAGAAGTCCATTACCACCATTCATGTCGAACTAATTATGTGAAAGCAGCAAGACGTATTGAAGACAGAGACAGTAATACTGACGAAAAGAAGCGTGAAAGTGAATTACTGATAGCTATATATAAATATGTAAATGATTTCATTATAAAAAAGAAAAGATCTGAATTACTAACGTCCGTATATTCCCAATACTTAACATTTTGCGAGGAATGTGACGAAATACCAGTCAGTAGTGCACAATATTTGATGAAAATTCTTTTAAAGAAATTTGACAAACAATTAAAATCACACTCTGATGCAGGCAAGAAACAGGGGGCTATATTGTACAATGCCGAAATATATCACCAGAAGCAGTTAGGAAAGCTTACGATTTTTGTGCAACATCTGAAAATATTATTGTGAAAGCGGCATTGGTTCTTCGAAAGCTCGTGAAAAGTATAGAGAAATCAGAATTACCGGACGATTCGACAATAGAGACATTGCAGAAAGGGGAGGCAAACCCCCAGACCAGAATTAGTCAATATAAATTCTTCCGTACACTTTTTGGAGGACCTATCTACGATAACCATTCCACTAAAACTATCAGAAGGGCAGGGTCATCAAGCCAAGACGCTTTGTTCATTGTTTCAAATGGAACTATAAATCCAGCTAAACATATAAGTCTTGGTGGTGCTATCAAGTCCCTGACAGGGACTAAGAAGATGCTTACACTACTAAACAGATTCGGACACTGCTCCAATTATAATTTCATAGAAGAATTGGAAACTATGGTTGGTGAAAAAATCCAGAATCAGAACACTTGTTTACCTGCTGATTGCAAGAAAAATGTACCTTTCGGTGTTGCTTTTGACAATTTTGATGAATTGTGCGAGACGCTATCAGGATCAAATACGTTGCATGATACTATGGGTATTATGTATCAGGCTGAGAGTATCTCTTCTGAGTGCATGAATGTACCTGCATCAACAATTGGTAAAGGCTCAAACAGTAGGAAAAGAAAACTGGATGTCACTGAATTTAACCTGCAGCCTTACAGGAAAAAACCAAGAATGACTATTTTTGAATACCAATGTAGAGATGTATGGAAATCCATGGATACCAAAAGGCGTAAAGGACATCTGGATTTCACATGGATGGTTTGCTATGGTCTTATGACAACAAATATTCCTTTGTGGGTTGGTTTCAATTCTCAATTCTACGTAGACGAGTTGCAGAAACAAAGGGTAATGTACATGAAGAATTTGCAACAACCAATAACTCAGCTTGATGTAATTCAACATACACTAAAAATTACTCAACAATGTGCAGAAGAGATTGGACAGAGCTATGGCATAGTAAGCTATGACCTGAATGCTGCAAAACCGGCCATGCAAATCCAGGCTACAGAAACGCCACTATATGACAATATTTTCATCATGCCCGGAGTGTTCCATATTGAAATGGCTATGTTTAAGGCTATTGGCAAAGTTATTGATGGCTCAGGAGGTCCTGCTATGCTCACAGAATCTTTAGTAGTATCATCAGGTTCTTTGAATGGCTTTTTATCTGGTACACATTTTAATAGATGTAAAAGACTTCATCCGCTTTTAGCAGTATCCCTAGAAACTTTGTTTTTTCAAAAGTGTTTGGATCAATACCCACAGGCTGAGGATTTTCGAGACTTTATAGCAAGCATTGATGGAATGACCGGATCAGATATTGTGGCCAAATGTGAAGGTTCCAGTGTTTTTAATTTGGCAATGGCATTCTTTAATCAGTTCAAAACAGATACTTTGGCTGGCTAACATGTGGCTACTTCTCAATTTTGGATAATGTATGTAACTTTCATACAAAATTTCCATTTGTTGGAGAGAGCCATTCGAACAAATGATGTGGAACTTTATTCTTTCCCTCTAACTCCAATTATTGATCTCTTTTTTGCCACAAACCATGTCAATTACGCAAGATGGTTAACAAAATTTCAATTAGATTTATTGAACATTGACAACACTCATCCAGGCTTATCTGATTTACTCAACTCTGGCGTGTTTACAGTAAGAAGAACAGATCATAGTTTCAGCAGAATTCTAACTTTGGAACAGTCAATCAATGCTAATGCCGCTTCACGTCAAACTGGATTGTCTCATATGACAAACAACTTTGGAGCTCGACAAAGATGGGTGGTAACCAGGCCCTTTAGGGCTTTAATGGTCAGTTCTATTTTACAGATGGCTGGAATGTCTAATCCCGAGAATGCTTCAAATGAACTAAAACCTACTCGAATAATGCGTGATCACGAGGATTATTCTAAAATTGTTAAACAAATAAAAAATTCTTGTGATCCTTTTATCTTACCAGAAGATACAGATGACTCTCTTATTAACATTAGTACTGGTAAAAGTGTGAAATTAGAAATAAAAAACAACCTGTTAACAATAACAGAGAGAGGAGCAGAATTGCATAAGCAATTCATCGAAGATTGTATTGCTGATCCAAACAGATTTGAGAAACCTATTAAAAGACAGAAACTTCTTACTTTCAGTGATGGCTCCATCAGGAATACCAAAAGCACAAGTAACAAGGTAGCTAGTCTGAAATGCACTCGGGATTTGATGGGGCAATTGTTATTGATTGCTGTCAATAGAAAATTAGATTTGGAATACGTATTGACATATCCACTGACTCCAGTACCATTATCCATGTGCAACTATGATGGGACACTAGCAAAAACCGACAAATCTACACTCTTCAGAGAATTAGAGAAAATGATTAATGGTGAAACTCTAACTACTCCTTCTCTTGACGCATATGTGATTGACGGTAATTTCTTGTTGCATCTTTTACCCAATAAAATATCGCCTACATACGGAGGTCTGGCCTCTACCATCTTGATAATGGCTACATCAACCACTTCAAAAAGAGTTGATCTCCTCTTTGACACCTATAAAGAACCATCAATAAAAGATTGTGAGAGGCAAAGAAGAGGGGCTGAAGAACAGGAATTTGTAATTACTAGTCCAGATCAACTTCGTCCTCGTAATTTGAGTGATGCACTTAAATCTACATCATTTAAAAAGAATCTTCCAAGCTTTTTGATTGAGGAATGGAAGAAGTTACACTATAGTACCATCATTAAAGATTGCCATCTATATATCGGTCATCTTAACCAATGTCATCATTTTTTCGTTGAAAACCACGAAGTCCGTCATGAGTGCATTGCTACAATGGAGTCAAATCATGAGGAAGCAGATACAATGATATGTTTTCATGCCAAGGTTATTGATGAAACGGAACACCCAGGACACATTGTGGTACGTGCATCAGACACTGACATAGCAGTTATTTTGATTCACCATTCCCACAAAATTGCAGCCACTGTTTGGATGGACGTTGGAACTTGCTCGAGAAATAGTCGTCGATATATAAATATAACGCAAATCGCCACTACCCTAGGTACTTCTATGTGTGCGGCTTTACTAGCTTTTCATGTCTTTACTGGGTCTGATTTCACTTCAGCCTTTGCCAGAAAAGGAAAAGTCAGACCACTATCTTTTGAAAAATGATAAAAAGGCTCAACACTCATTTTCTCTTTTAACCAAAGAATGTCCTATTTCTGAAAGTGTCATTTCAGAATTAGAAATGTTCTTAAGTAAGATTTACGGTGCAAAAAAATCTGAAACATCTTTGAACAGCTACAGGTATAAAATGCTTCAAAGGGGGTTTTCTCCGAAAAGAGAGGATAAACCATTTGCAAAAATCAAAGGAATAAATGCCAGTGACATTCCACCATGCCAATTTGAGTTGTCACCCCATATCAGACGTGTAGGATTTGTTACTAGGATGTGGCTGATACTGCTTTTATTACATGTGAACCTTCTGCAGCAGATGGTTGGTATCTAAAAGACAGTCATTACCATATAAATTGGTTTGATGGTTGTCAGATGCCCGAAAGACTTATCCCAGACGATATGGATGAAACTGTGGAATCAGATGATGAATTAATATTAGCAGCAGGATCTAGTGATGAAAGTGATGCGGATGAATAACTCTGGTGTTGTGAATGAAGTAAAAACATGAACATTTGCACTGTTTTATCAATCCAAAGAATGGATCTTCATATTTATTTTCTCTACGGTTTTTGTATAATAATTTCTAGTTTTACTTTTGGAAACTTTCATGTAACTAACTGATAGAACCATATATTTAAGGTTCCTAAATCACTTTCAGAATGAAAATTCAAAATTCAAAATCCAAAAGTGATATAGGAAGCCAAAATTTGGCTCTTAACAGATGAGAAACTAAAAAAATGTAGAGGACTATCTCCATTAAACAGCGATGATGTGATCATATTTTAATGTTAAAGAGTTATTATCTCTTAGAGTGAACATGAAATTGAAATTCTTAAACTTGGTCAATACGAGTATATTAGTATTATCAGTGTGGACTTACCTGTGTCATAACTTTACAACAGAATCTCTCTATAATCTTATATATCCATTAAAGTATATTAGTGTATAGTTATGACACCGGGTAAATCCACTGCTGAATCTATAGTCAAGTTTGGACAAGTTTGACAATTGTAATTTTCTGTTCATTCATCCACCTGTTTGAACTTTGACCTGTTCTTAAGCACCTTTTGCACCGACCAAACTGTTCTTACGAATGTGTTTTGAAATCCTGACGACTGGGCTGATACTTTGGCATTGAAATTTTTCTTGGGCTCAAAAGTTTGATTAAAACGCTAATTAAAGGTGTTCTTAAGCACCTTTTGCACCACCTGAATTGTTCTTACGAATGTTTTCTGATCATGATATTTGCTATTCTACCTAATAAAATTGAAATGTATGATGGGCTTTGAAGTTTGATTAACAGGTAATTTTGGCCAAATTACCACCTGTTTGAACTTTGAACTGTTCTTAAGCACCTTTTGCACCGACCAAACTGTTCTTACGATTGTGTTTGAAATCCTGACGACTGGGTTGATACTTTGGCATTGGAATTTTTCTTGGGCTCAAAAGTTTGATTAAAACGCTACTTAGCCCTAATTAAAGGTGTTCTTAAGCACCTTTTGCACCACCTGAAGTGTTCTTATGATGTAGTTTTATGATCAGCACACTTCATAGTTACTTTTTATGAAAAAAACATCGATGGGCTCGATATTTTGATTAAACGTGTTTTTGGGGAATCTTTGAGGAGCTGTGCCTAGGTAACGCACCAAGCGGGGACCTTAAGAATTCTTGATTTTGAAGTCCTGTAGTAATGTCTTCACAATGGAGGTATCAAACCTTTTGGGCTCAACTTTATGATTTAACTCCACCTAGCTCCCGGTCTAACACAAGCTGCGATACTGTCACGAGTTGGGGTTAATATCTTTGTGCTTCCTTTTTTGCAGTTTTGGTAACAGTTTTTTTGTTGTTGTTGTGATATATAATCTTCACTGTATACTGAGGATGTGGAGCTTTGACGATTGGGTAAAACTATAATGCTCCTACCAGGATTTGATGTGGATGGCAAATTAATGTTGTTGGCTTCTGGTTGTGCTGCACTAGTTTCTGCATTCAGTTGTATTATGTTATCCTGCTCTTGTTCATTATCATTCATTGGTCGATCTGTAACTAATGCTGAAAGAAAGTCATTATTTATGGATGTATAAACTGAAAAAACCTGTGTACACTTATGTATTACATCAAGAGTAAAGTATGCCATTCCTATATGTGGCATGAAGGACTTGCAAGAAGAGGATCGAATGGAATCTCCTCTTGTCTGTATGATTTACTTCGAAATGTGGACAAAGGTGTTCCTTCGATGATGTTGCAATTTGTGAAGGAGGCGTGTGGAGGAGCTTGATCTTAAACTTTTTTGAGCCACACCACGGTGGCACTTTGATGTTCTCGGATGCCAAATTGGGCCTATTTTAAGTCCATTACAGACACTCTACTCAACCAAGCTTGACCATTTGTGGGGGTTGGGGGGGCACAGGATATCATGCCCCCCACCCCCCAGGTTTTCTGACGGGGTGGGGATGGGGGCGTGTCCCCCTGAAACAATCCCCCCACCCCTCTTTCTGCGCCCATGTCTGACATTGAAATTAAAGGGGCATAACTTTTACATTTTCTCGCATGTGGCATTTCTACTTCATATCTCTTCCCAGAAGCCCTGAACCACATGCCTTTATTGCACAATGCTAAAAAAAATAGGGAGGCAAAAACAAAGTCTGTACATTCTTACAACTCGACAACATGATACGTCATATGTGGTCATAAATAAGCGTAACAAAAATTTATGTGACAGACATCAAGAAAGCTCGTCTATACATGAGAATTATTTCCCTTTTATTTACAGCCCGATAAATTCCTTGAAATTATCTTTGATCACCATCGACATGTATGAAATGAGTTTTTTCGGCTTTCTTGTTTATATCTTGTGTGTAAATATCGTGTATATAAATTGTTTATTTAATATTTTGAGAATTGCAAGTACAATTTCCTAAGGCGAACTGATTTTCCTGTCAAATAAATAAATCAATTATGGCTATTGTTACCCACGGGTTGATTTTTGTATTGAGTCAACGAGGGGATGGTTATCCAGACTATATTGTTCTTTCACAAAAAGAAAAAAAACCCAAAAAACAGAAAATGAATTATTATATTACACGAGGTCCGCCTGTCCGCCAATTTTTTGTAGAAAATTGCTTACCACCTGGAATAACAGGTGAGACTTTGTAACAAAATTTAACATAATGAAAGGGGCGAAGACAAGGTAAATACAAAAGACACGACACAATAATCACCATTTACAGTGAAAGATATGAAATATTGTCCTACGTCCTACTTTGCAAATAGAGTGAAAGAAGCCATACTTGAAACAAGTAAAATTTGAATTGTACAAAACTATTACTCAGATGTTTATGCGTCACCAAATATTTAGTAGAGATATTAGGAGATCCATCCTGAAGTACTTTATAAAAGTGATTGACAATTACAGAGGTATTTTTAGCCGTAGTATTGTAGGTGATAACAAAGGGTAAGATAGTTTGCGTTGCAAGGTAACATACGCCCACTGGCAGCTGTCAGAAATAATAAAACAGTCTTTAGTGACTAAAGTATGAATATAATGAATATATCTCTTGTTAGAACTTGTCCGAGATCTTATTCCAATGATCACACCAAGTTTCATCAGAATCGGTTGAAAACTATAGCTTCTATTGTGCTCACAAACAAATTTTGACGCGTTTTGCGTAAGTTAATGGCATTAACTCAAAAACATTTCATCGAAAATGCGTCAAGTTAGAACTTGTCCGAGATCTTATCAATTTCAATGATCACACCAAGTTTCATCAGAATCGGTTAAAAACTGTAGCTTCTATTGTGCTCACGAACAAATTTTGACGCGTTTTTACAATGTCAAGGGCAATAACTCGAAAACCGTTCATCAAAAATGCATCAAGTTATAACTTGTCCGAGATCTTATCAATTCCAATGATCACAACAAGTTTCATCAGAATCGGTTGAAAATTGTAGCGTCAATCCTGCTCACAAACTATTTATAACAAATTTCGACACATTTTAACAAAGTCAAGGGCAATAACTCAAAAACCGTTCATCGAAAATGCGTCAAGTCAGAACTTGTCCGAGATCTTATCAATTCCAATGATCACACCAAGTTTCATCAGAATCGGTTGAAAACTGTAGCTTCTATCCTGCTCAAGAACTATTTTTAACAAATTTTGACGCGTTTTTACAAAGTCAAGGGCAATAACTCAAAAACCGTTCATCGAAAATGCGTCAAGTTAGAACTTGTCCGAGATCTTATCAATTCCAATGATTACACAAAGTTTCATCAGAATCGGTTGAAAACTGTAGCTTCAATCCTGCTCACGAACTATTTTTAACAAATTTCGACGCGTTTTAACAAAGTCAAGGGCAATAACTCAAAAACCGTTCATCGAAAATGCGTCAAGTTAGAACTTGTCCGAGATCTTATCAATTCCAATGATCACACCAAGTTTCATCAGAATCGGTTGAAAACTGTAGCTTCAATCCTGCTCACGAACTATTTTTAACAAATATTGATCCGTTTTAACAAAGTCAAGGGCAATAACTCAAAAACCGTTCATCGAAAATGCGTCAAGTTAGAACTTGTTCGAGATCTTATGAATTTCAATGATCACACCAAGTTTCATCAGAATCGGATGAAAACTGTAGCTTCAATCCTGCTCACGAACAATTTTTAACAAATTTCAAGGCGTTCTAAGTCAAGGGCAATATCTCAAAAACCGTTCATCGAGAATATGTCAAATTCGAACTTGACCGAGATCTTATCAATCTAAAGCATCACACCAAGTTTTATCAAAATCAGATAAAAACTTTAGTCTCTATAGTGCTCACAAGAAATGTTGACGGACGGACCGACGGACAGGGGCGACGACAATATACGACCACATATTCATGTGGGCGTATAATAATTTGATTGTCATGCTGGATATGTTGACCGTTAAGTACAGCTATTTGATCTACCCAGAAACTCCCACTTTGCAATCTGTAATAGTGGTATTATAATATTAGAGAAAAGAAATACAAGTTGATGAGTAGCTAGAACTTTGTTGGTGTATATAGTCCATTTTAGATAATAAATGTAATAATGATAACCCTAAACATCATATTGCATCCGCATCCTTCACTAAAAATTGAGGGGGGGGGGGGGGCGTTTACCAATTCAAGTACCTTTTGCTGGGATACACTGACTCTTAACTAGTTGCAGTAGGTGAGTCTTACGGGCCTCTTATAGTGGCGATCATATTTATTTTCGCTGAAATTCTCGAATATCACCTTGATGGAATGGAAGTCTGTCGTACTTACATATTCGTTGACAATTCACAAATATACTTTCCCTGTCTGTTCGATACGGAAATTGATCGGAAATTGTTATACTAAATGACATGATATTAATTTATTTCATCTTATATATATATATATATATACTAATTAAAATTGTTTTCATTACATGACATCACGAAAGTCAATTGATATGTTCTGAAGTAAATTAAATGTTTGCATACACATTCTACACACACACTGATTTCTATATACTGTAACCGAATATAGGCTTTTATCCAAATTCATTCATTCCTATATTAAGTTAATAGGCGTATTGTGATCATGTCGAAGCGTTTTGAAATATTAAATGACGTCAAGGATCGATTTTATGCAATTTCAAAGCACCTATTAGATTGAGGGTGATCCATAATTCATTCTGTTATGGCTACCGAGTTGAGAAAAATATTTTAAATAACTAAATCATCAGGTATATAACAATTGGAACAATGACAAGCTCCCTTAGAACAACATCTAATACACACCCTAATCCAAGGATGTATTCGCTCCATTAATTACACATAAATTATTGATATTATGTTTCATGTGTAAAACCAGTATATAATGCAGTGTTTGATAGTATGTTCATGCAAATTTTATCCACAAATTCAATTTGAGTATCACTTCGGCATTATATTTTGACACCGAATTAGGCTGTCAATTCAAATTCAAATTCAAATACTTTGTGAGTATTCTGAAAATGAAAAGGGTTGTCGTATTTTCTGTGCAACCGGATATACAACCACTTTCACCCACAGAACTATTTTGGGATGCACATGATTAAGAATAATATCTAAGAATATCTATCATGGGTGTTTTTGGGAAAAATACTTTCCATTCAATTTATTTTTACGATATTTTATTTCGTAAACAGGAAGGTTTGGAGCTGTTAATCCCGGGTTTTGCAGTCTACCTGTCTACTTAATTCAAGGGTGAATAATATTTACATATTAAAAGTTCATCTAATATTTATATGTATGTAAGCTTAAACCTTATTGTTTTTGGTGTGACTTGATGCCTTTTTTCAAAAATCGAAACGGAAATATTTTGTTAAACTTCTGTCCATATATTGACGTTTGTTTTGTTTTATGTGATTAGCGTTATTGTTTATTAATGTAGATGAAGTGAAATTTATATATTTAACACATATGACTCTCCAATCCTATATTGTCAGTGGTTTCCGTTTAATTTCAATCGGAAGTTGTGAACAAGAGAATAAAACCGTCGATACTAAAATACATATTAATCATCAAATAATTGAAAGTTCACAGCAATACAAAACCGAAACTCGGGTAGTGGCTGTGCCAGTGGGTTGGGTTGGGGGTTGGGCGTGGACACTGGACTGGGGTTAATTCCTATTTCATCTTACAATGTCTTATTTGATCTGGCATTAAACGATCACGAAATGAACTTGAAGAAAAGAAATAATTTTGGTTAATTACACCTAGGGTGTCATATCGATTTAATAAACCTTAATTACGTGAAAAAGAAACAGATCATATTGGTCAATTAATATTGATCGAGTTTGAATTGACTTTCATGAATTGGCATTAATCATGCAAAATGATTCTTTATTGTTTTGTGGAAATTTCGGTGTTATGTTATCTGAGTAAAAATTAAAGTAGAAACCATTATTTACATGGCCAAAATCGACAGCTTGTCGACAGCTGACAATCACTTGAATCCACTTCCAGGCGTTCTTTAAAGGAGCAGTATGCAAAATTTGCATTAGACAGCACGTTCTAAAATATACATTTCTCTACAATTTAGTGTATATTTTGCCATTATTTTTCCAGTACCAACAAAAACATAGCGTTTTGGCGTACTAGGAATTAAATGCAAGATATTTTAGTTAAAACTTTAAGATAATACAGTGAGCAAATTTCTAGTGATTTTGGTCTATAGTTTTCATTTATAATCTAGCAATCGAAAAACAATATTTAAGCATGTAGTCGTTATTAAAACCAACTCATTCTTACAGACATAATTATAGGTTCGAGAAACCGTGGATTTATTGAACGATTTCAATCAATCATACATTGTTTTATTAATGATCTGTATCTGAATCATTTTTCATATTTAGAACGATTACAGTTTAATAGACATGTCTTAAGAAAGCGATTACTGGTTGTATTAAAATTGTGTATACGGAGGAAACATCATTTAAACTTGCTAAAGAGAAATTGAAACTATTATTTAAAGAATAGGACTGTGTAATTAATCACAATGTGGTTCCAGATATTTTTGTGTCAAATATTGATTGTTTTAATTTTGGCTAAAACATCAAAATATATCAAAACTAATGTTCTTCAGAATACGTGTGATTTCAGTGGAAAGATTAAAGAGGAAATCGTAAGAAGTGAACATCACTGTGCTTTGAAATGTTCTGACTTGTCAACTTGTCGACGATATGGGTTTTGTGTGGAATCTGGTAATAAAATATGTTCCCTATATTCAAGTGGTGCCAACTGTGTAACCCATTTACAACCATATCAGTGTAAATGTTACCGCAAGGTAAGTTTTCAACCATCACTTTGTTTATCAACTAACGTCTAAACCATAATGTTTTGAAGAATTGTCAACCAGGGACGCTGAATATCCCCAATTTATTGTTAAGGCTTCGTTTGAAAACTGGTTAAATTTCTTAAATAATTCATGATGGTAAAATTTACTCAATTTGTTTGCATGTCCTTTGAGAACGAGCTGAAAAAAAGAATGCTAGAGCGTAGGAATAATAATAATAACAATAATAATATTTTATTCTCTTGCGACCCCCTAAGGGCAAATGAGAAGTATATAAATATTACAATTAAATGTGACGGCAAGGTACAAACAACATTTACAAGATGCTAAACGTAACAGTATTGTTATTTTCAAAAGCTTTTCATTATTATTATTACAAATTTAGCTAAATTAAATTAAAAAATATAATGGAATTCATCGGGTATTTCATCTTCAGAATCACATAGGGGGGCAACAAATATCATCATGTAAAGTGGAACTATATCTACGTATATGGCAACTTATGGTTTCCGCATCTAAATCTACAGAGGGCAGGGAGCTGATTAGCGTATAAGTATGACAAATAGGGTTCAAATTGGAGATTTGTTTTAAATATTTTATAGTTTATACATAGTTTATTATTTGATAATGATTCTTGCCAGGTTTGCTGGAAAATATCTGTAAGACGCAGTTTGAGTGCGCTTTTGAGCCAAATTGGGTTAACATTTTGGAAATTATTCATATAATTTGACTTATATGCTGCTGCACACTTATGGTATTCCCTCAACATATCCATTAGATCATCTTCAAATATGGAAGACTTTAAATCCAAATTGAAAACACACTTGTTTGGTCGTTATGATTAGACTTACTGTGAATAAAGCTTGTGAAAGACATGTGTCAGCGCTTTGAGCACTCTCCATGTAGAGTGGATTTCAACGCTTTATAAATACAATTATTATTATCATTAATGTGCCCAATATTAGTGTGCCCAGTATTAGTGAGTGTCCAAATGAATATGTGCCTAATTGAAGATGTACCTATGTCAATGTGCCTAAATGACATTGTGCCAAATATATTAGTGTGCCTAAAAAGTGTGTGCCTGAGTGAATATCTCTTTAATTGAAAGTGTACCTAAATCACTGTGCTATATAAAACTGCGCTTATATAACTTATGTCGATTTGTCGCAGATAATAGTCTGTACATTTTATTCGAATTCTCCAACGACGGAGCACTACGAAACGCCGAATCTGGAAAGATTCCACCAAATCTATGAAATTCGTAGATAAATGTAGCACATGATTGTAATATTATTTTACAACTGTAATATTTTCATTCAACTGTAATTATTCATTCAACAAAAATGCACTGAACATCAGAGACCACGTGTTGATCAGATACTATTCACAACACTATAGTTATGTTGCAGTGTCTTCTCGTAATAACACTTATTCTTCCTGGGCGTGTTCATTTTCGCCAAGAACGCTGACATTGGCCTCGAATGGATTGCTGGTGACTTGAAACTGGACAGTATCCAGATCGGGAAAATATATCCCGAACTCTGACTTCAGAGATATCAGATGCTCCTGGATATCTGGAAACGTATTGATATCTTCTGTTGTTTCAAGATATTCTGCCAAGCGAGGAAAGAGTGCATACCGTCTCAAATTTGCCGCTTCTATCAGAAGGTTAAGAATTCTCTCAACTTATCATAAAATATCATTATATTTAACTCTTGACCTTGTAGACTTCGGTTGAGCGTATTCAGGCGATAAATCCTCAGGGAGTTTTTTTTTTATATGAGGAGCGAAATTCTTTGACTTCATTTTCCAGTTCAAAAAGTCCCAAATCCACCCTGACCTAGAACTTCATCGATGAGGTTAAAAACGTCAATTCCCTGCGTGGTTAGTTCAAGTGACTTGCAAAATAGAATTCCATCCTTGAACATATTATCATGAATGTATCTGACCAAAACCATCAGCTGACTAAGCGAAACTACGCCCATTGATTCATCACATGCTATCCCAAAATATGATAAATGGTTTACTTTCTGGTTTACTCTTTTATTACATATCCCCAATCCTTCTCCATATAAAACTAGCGATATCCCCTATTACCAGTCCAATAATCTTTTCTTATACTAGTCCAATACAACGCCCTACTACCAGTTCTAAATCATCCCCTACCACTAGTCGACCATCATCGACTACCAATCCTACAACATTCCCTACTACCAGTCCATCCACAAATCCATCATCACCTCTCCATATAAAACTAGCGACATCCCCTACTACCAGTCCAATAATCTTTTCTAATACTAGTCCAATACAACCCCCTACTACCAGATCTAAATCATCCCCTACCACTAGTCGAACATCCCCTACTACCAGTCCATCCACAAATCCATCATCACCTCTCCATATAAAACTAGCGACATCTCCTACTACCAACCAAAAATCTTTCCTAATACTCTTTCCAATACAAACCCTACTACCAGTTCTAAATCATCCCCTACCACTAGCGACATACTCTACTACCAGTCCAACAATCTTTTGTAATAATCTTCTACCACTAGTCGAACATCATCTACTACCAATACTACAACATCCCCTACTACTAGTCCTACAATTTCTGCTACTACCAGTCTTTAAAGATGGGTTCCCCCATTTTCATATATGAAAATGCTAATACTTATGTTCATGAATAGAAATAGAGGTGTTCTAATGACATGGAAAAACCAGTTTGTCCATAATTAATTCATAATTTGCTAAATTAGAAGAGAATTACCAGTAGAATTCAAATGAGTGACCGATCAAGAAAGGTCAAAAAGTATTTTTTTGTTTATCCAGACTGTACTTTCATGGACATTTATGATTGGTTAAAGCACTTAATTATATGCAATAAGAACATAATGATATGATTAAGAATACGTGATAATTCATAAGAAACCCCAATTAATCAAATAGTTTCCTTAATTTGACACTAAAAAAATTAAACCCATCTTTAAACCTCCTCTACTTCCAGTTCAAAAACATCCCCCACAACCAGTCCTACAAATCCCCTTCCATCAGTCGAACTGTTTGAACAACATCCACTACGAAGTCTACACCATTCCCTACTAATATGTCCAACAACTTCCCCCACTACAATTCCTGAAACGCCACCTAATAATAAACAGTTAAACAACCTCCGCTTCTACCAGTCAAACAACATCTCCACTACCAGTCTCAGAACATACTACCAGTCCGTCAATCTCCCCTACTAATCTTTTCTAATACTAGTCCAATAAAAGTCCCTACTACCAGTTCAAAACCATCTTTTACCACTAGTCAAACAACCCCACTAAAAGGAAAACCCTACCACCAGTTCAAAATCATCTTCTACCACTAGTCGAACATCATCTACTACCAATCCTACAACATCCCCTACTACCAGTCCATCTACAAATCCATCATTACCTCCCCATATAAAACTAGCAACATCCCCTACTACCAGTCCAATAATCTTTTCTAATACTAGTCCAATACAACCCCCTACTACCAGTTCTAAATCATCCCCTACCACTAGTCGAGCATCATCTACTACCAATCCTACAACATCCCCTACTACCAGTTCATCCACAAATCCATCATCACCCCATATAAAACTATCGACATCCCCTACTACCAGTCCAACAATCTTCCAGTCCAATAATCTTGTGTAATACTAGTCCAATAAGTAGTAGGGGATGTTGTAGGATTGGTAGTAGATAGGTGTAGATTATGTCTGACTGTAGGCGATCTTAAAGAACCGGTTTTAGGCAATATTGGGTGATGTTGTTGGATTGGTAGAAGAATATGTTTTACGACTGGTTGTTGTTGGACTGGTGGTGAAAGATGTAGTTGGACTGTTTATTATGTTATTAACCAAAGCAAAGTTATGATAGAAACAGTACTCATTTTCATTGATGTCTGCCACTTTGAAGAGAGAAGTACATTACACACCTACACTTCAGTATAGCTAAGAATAATTAATATTAGTTGTACATTGATGTTTTTGTCAGTTATTTTAAACTACCCAAATATAACTTTGATTCGTTATCAGTTTTGTACTATTCTAGCCCATTTTTTTCAATAGTCAGTGTATTTTTCATAGTGGTAGTTTTAAGACATACAGTATTTTTGTATCTCTAATTGTACAGATAACATGTTTTAATTGCATTAATTTGTATAATTTGGTCCTTTAGTTTGATTCTATAGATAAATAATTTTATGTTCATTATTATCCAATTTTGTATCTCCCAAATGTACAGGCCTAGGGTGGAGCAGACACTTTATTTAGAAATTAGGATTAAGGGTCTTGATATTGGGTTTTCTTCTGTTCTTATTCTGATCTGAATTAGAAAAAATAACTCGCCCGATGGGCGAGAAGTATAGTATCTGTTATGTACTGATTGTTTTAGTTTACTATGAACAATATTATCATTTAAGTTTTTTTGTTTTTTTGAATATGCAACTATCATTTTCTGCTTATAGGCATGGGGGAATTTCTCTTATAGTGGGCATGAACTATCTTGCTTGCTCGATTGCTGGTTGTATTGAACGGGACAACAAAGGGTGCTATGCCTACATTATGATGAATATTTAGTCCTATAGGTCTTGCTGTATTCAATGTCTCAATCCAATGGGCTTCCATAGATTGACGGAATTTGGTAGTTTCATCTTCGGGCAAGTCAATTTCTATACGCTCAATTGGGATTAGGGTGAGATCGTCTATTGAATGGTCGTCGAGGTTGAAATGATTAGAAACAGGCTTGTCTTTCTTTAATTTGATGTCTGACCTATGAGCATTAGAACGAGTTCGTAAATTATTCTAAGTTTCTCCTACATATTGTTTGGGGCATTTCTTGCATGAAATTAAATATATTACATTCGAATGTTCACATGTTAGATGTTCCTGGATCGGGTACCTTTTATTCGTAGAGTTGCTTACAAAATAATGAGTTTCTGATATAAAGGGACATGTTTTGCATCTACTGGACAAACATGGAGCAATTCTTAACCCTGGAGGTACTTCGGCATAAAGTCTGTTTTTAGCTGCTATCTGTGCCAAGGTGGAATTTTTTATGTTTCGTAAAAATCGTTTAGAGTACCCACGCTCTTTCAGTTTTGAAAAAACAATCGTACAAGCTTGGTTGAAATCAGACGATCTTGTACAAATTCGATGAAATCGTAAAACTTGTGACTTAATTATACCAGAAAAGGTATGTTTGGGTGAAAGGAGTGCTTGTGCAAGAGTTGATGAGTATCAGTTTCTTTGAAATACACTTTAATATCCAGTTTATTTGTTTCTGCTATGGAATCTCTCTTAAAGACAGTGGTATCGAGAAAGTCTATGCTTTTGTCACTCGCGTTTGCGGTTAGTTTGATAGAAGGATGGTGGTTGTTGAGAATTTCAAAGAATTCCCAAAACTGTTCGATAGAATAAGTCCAAACCCCAAAAATGTCATCCAAAAAACGTCAGTAAAAAGTGGGTCAAATGGACAGAGGGGCAACACCTCACGTTCCCACTCTGCCATGAAAAGGTTTGCGTACGAAAGGGGAATCGTTTGCCCATTACTGCCTCGAGTTATGTAATTGAGGAATGTTTTGATTTTAAATGGTATGATTGGCCGGATATTGTTAACAATGTAAATCTCAAGTTTAACTTTTTTTCATAGATTTTAATTGAATTGCTCTCAGGAATGATTCATGTTCTAGGAAATTGGTTTTTATATTGTATAGTTCTCCTATCTGATTGTAATTCATGCATGTATTACTTTTGTCTTTTATGTCTCCTATAAAATGTATCCCCTTTTTACTATAATGTTTGTAGTGTATCGTTTGGTTCCCACTTTTATTTCTTTGTTATCCTATTTAATTAAAGTGTTGAAGTCATTTATGTTATGGGGTTTTCCTCTGTCTTGTAGCAGTGACCAATTGTGTAAAACATCTTTCCAAAAATTGTTTGAAGTCTTAGGGATTTTCTTTTTTATATATTCATTGCCATGTTCTATTTGTTCACATATTGTGGTATTAATTATGTTTTTAATTAAGTTTTGCCAAGTTCCACCACATTGTAATAGTTTTGTTACCCAAGACAATTTCATTGATTTATCAAAGTCATGAATATTTATCATATTAAGCCCTCCCAGTTGTATTTCCCTACATAAGGTGTCACGGCTGATTTTGTCAGGCTTATTATTCCATATAAATTCAAAGAAATGTTTTTTTAAATTTTCAAGATACGCTGTTGAGGGTAGTGCACAAAGTAGGTGTGTTACTTTGGGTAAAGCCAATGTTTTAATAACAGTTATTTTTCCTATAACAGTGAGTTTTTTCTTAACTGCCATTCTTGAAGTAAATTATGAATGGTTATTATTTTTTGGTCAAAGTTTTTATTTGGTATAGTATCTATGTCTACGGAAAAAAGATTGAAGTCAGTGCTTCCCCAGTCTAGTTTCCATCTTGAGTGATGGTATACTTGTTTAGAGTATTTTTTATCCAGACAACTTTAGTTTTTGAAAAGTTTATATTTAATCCTGAAAATATAGCAAAATAATCAAGTGTTTCAAGTGTAGATTTTAATGATTCCGGTGACCCATCCAATACAAATGAAGTGTCATCAGCATACTGAGTGATGAGATACTCCTATCCTCCAATGTTTATTCCTCTAATATCTCTTTTTTTGATGAGGATGGAAAGTATCTCAGTACAGAGTATGAAGATATATGGGCTTAGAGGGTCCCCTTGTATAACACCCCTACCAAGCTGTATGTCGGATGAGAGATGTCCATTAATTATTACTCTTGAGGTAGAATTTTTATATAAAGTAGGAATCCACTTCTTGATAGATTTCTTAAAACCAAAAATATCAAGGACTGTGTAGATAAAATTCCATGCGACGCTATCGAATGCTTTTTCAAAATCAATCAGTAGTAGAAGTCCTTGTATTTCATGTTGTTCTGTATACTAGTATATCATAGATTAGTCGAATATTTTCGCCTATCGTCGCCGTCCTGTGAAAACCTTGTAACTGATTATTTGTGGTTTTGAGGAAATCGAGAAAAACTGCCTCATTTTTACTCTAATTATGCCACAATGATGCCTTTTGGAATGAATGTCATTGAAGTATACTTGTATTGTTACCTGTTATTGTTTATTATGAGACCCAATTTTTATGAGATTCGTGCTACTTACGAGGTTGTCATTTAAGCATGCATAAGTCTTATTTGAAGATACGAGGTATTCAGTATAGTACTTAGTAGTGTATAACACCAAATAGTCAATATGGCAATGTCGATGTATGAAATGTATGATTATATTCATGGATATTTCATTGGCTCGCCAAGCTCAGTCAATATTTGACATTTTTCAGGTTCGTCAAAGTTATGAAAGTCATGTTTGGAAATGTAGCCTACTATGGCGTTCTGATTACGTACATTGTCGAAGAAAACTATCTGTCAGCCCGTTTGATATATTATGCGCATCAGTCGAAAGTGAAAAATCATTCTTATACACTAAATGTTTTTCTGAAATATGGACACAGATAAGTAATTGAAAAAACATTTTAATGATAACAATTAACTGTAGCATCAAGAACACTGAAATGCCAATTTAAACAATTAAACAGTTTAACCAAATTAACAGTTACTCATGAGGGAGATTATCATAAAATAAATGGAAATCTTTTGGCATTACACATTTCAGTTGTTGTAAATGATTCCATTTTTTATTGGTGATCTTTAAAGGGGATTGATGTAATGCAGGAATGGCAATATCTACATCTTTACCTCTGCGGCAACTACGTATTGCGGAGAAAGACAACCAATCTTCGTTGTCGTGTTGTAGTTTGTAATCAATGGTATACCATCACTTTGGTATCGAATGCATCTGAGGTTATTTACCTTGGGGTCACCTGCCTTTGATCCTGGTCGTAGAGACGGAAATAGCCCCAGTGAGCAATAATTTTTAAAGAAAGAATGAAATAGAGCCACTCGTGGCACAGAGTGGGACTTTGCAAATGTAGCAAATTGCGAGAGACCCCGAAAAAATCATCCATCGACGATAATTAGGTCAAGCGCAAGAACAAGTCTAAAGTTGATAATTTTTTATTTTTTAGAAGATTCTAATACCGGAAGTAGACGTCAGACCTCACAAATGAAAGTATCAGCAGATAGCCAAGGTCAATGACCTTTGATCTTGTAAAGGAGAAGGCCTAAAAAGGTCAAGATCAAGAGATATACGCCATTAAAATTTAGAAGTTGACTTAGGACAGCAAATATAAAAGTATAAATAGATAGCCAATGCCAATGACGTTTGATCCTACAAAGGTCAAGGTCAACAAAGGTCAAGTTCAAAAATTAAAAATTTTGAATTTCCAAATCTGTTCCTTTTTTTGAACTATGAAGCGGAAACAACCAAAATTCTAAGACAAAGTGGCTCAAAATATAAGGTAATTGTGTAAAAAGTTCCATTTTGAACAAATGTATACTTTGCGAGTTATGCCCCTGGCCAAAAATATCAATAATAAGTAATTTAACCCGGAAGTGCAACGCCAAACTCAATTTTTTTTGAATAAGTTAATCAATATTCAAAATGTTACGTTATGTTCCAAATGTCAAGTTCCTACATAATAGAGGTCAAAAGATATAGGTCAACAAAAGTCAAAAAAGGTCAAAATCGAAAAATGAAAATATCCAAATGTTAAAACCCGTTCCTTTTTTGAAACTATAAAGCTGAAACAACTGAGCTGTTAATACATACTGGCCAAAAGGATGAGGTAATTGTGTGCAAAGTCTCTTTTTGAACAAACGCATCCTATGCGAGTTATGCCCCAGCCCCAAAATGTAAAAATTAGTAATTTAACCCGGATGTGCCACGCCCACATAAGTTTTTTTGTCATAGGTGAATTCATATTCAAAGTGTCTAGTTATATTCCAAATATCAAGGTTCTACATCAAATAGATCGTAAGATATACATATACCAAGCTCAAAAAGTCGCAAATATTGTAAAAAAAAAAAAAAACTCAAATTTCAAAAAATCACGAATTTCAATTTTGCTTTAAAAAACGATTGTTATATATCTATGTAAAGTACACGAAAAGCACATTAGGAAACCGAAAAAAATTACTCTCTAGGTTAATTAGGTCACGTGCTAGAGCAGTCCAAAGTTGCGAATTTGGATGTTTTTGGACAGCTATAAAAGCGAAAGTAGACGTCAGAGGTCAAATATGAAAGCATAAACTAATAGATAACGTCAATGACCTTTGACCCAATAAAGGTCAAGGTCATCAAAGGTCAAGGTCAAAAATTGAAAATTTTGAATTTCCAAAACCTGTTCCTATTTTTGAACTAAGAAGCGGAAACAACCGAACTTCTAAGACAAAGTGGCTCAATTCATGAGATAATTGTATGCAAAGTTCCATTTTGAACAAACGTATACTTTGCGAGTTATGCTCCTGGCCAAAAATATCAATAATGAGTAATATTACCCGGATGTGCCACGCCCACCTTAATTTTTTTGCATAGGGTAATTGATATTCCAAATGTTACGTTGTGTTTTAAATTTCAAGCTTCTACATTATTCAGGTCAAAAGATATAGGTCAACAAATGTCAATAAAGGTCAAAATCGAAAAATGAAAATATCCAAATGTTAAAACCCGTTCCTTTTTTGGAACTATAAAGCTGAAACAACTGAGCTGTTAACACAAACTGGCCAAAAGGATGAGGTAATTGTGTGCAAAGTCCCTTTTGAACAAACGCATCCTCTGCGAGTTATGCCCCAGCCGCAAAATGTAAACAATTAGTAATTCAACCCGGATGTGCCACGCCCACCCCAATTTTTTTGTCATAGGTGAATTCATATTTAAAGTGTCTAGTTGTATTCCAAATATCAAGGTTCTACATAGAATAGGTCATAAGATATACATACACGAAGATCAAAAAGACACAAATATGGTAAAACTAAACTCAAATTTGAAAAAATCACGAATTTCAATTTTGCTTTAAAAAAGCAATTGTTCTATATCTATGTAAAGTGCATGAGAAGCACATTAGAAAACCGAAAAAATTAACCCTCTAGGTTAATAAGGTCACGTGCTAGAGCAGTCCAAAGTTGCGAATTTGGCTTTTTACGGATAGCTATAAAACCGGAAGTACATGTCGGAGGTCAAAGGTCAAAGTATCAAATGATAGCCAAGGTCAATGACCTTTGACCCTATAAAGGTCAAAGTCATCAAAGGTCAAGGTCACGAGATATACGCCATCAAATATTGAAAAAATTCAATCGCAAATTGCAAAAAAGCAAAATCGAAATTCAAAAATCGGCTTCCTGCGATCTCTCTTAATTTTTATGTTCTTTCATTTGACACCAAAATTTTGAAATTCGGTTCAGCCAAATTGGCTGAATAAAAATCGAAGAGTTTCAGGGAGATCAAAATGGCGGCCAAAGTTTCACTTCTGTTCCGGATTTTTTTTTCTTCGTTTTTTTGTCATAACTTTGTCTATCTATCAGCATAAATTTTTTTCTCCTATACAAATTACACCGGAAGATATTCAACCGGAAGTGAACATCGATTTGAAATTTTACTGTACCATTTTGTTTACTTTCTTAAACTGTCTTTGCTCAATTTTTTTCAGATTAATCAGACAAAAAGCAAAAAAAATGAAAAAAATGCAAAATTTGGCAAAAAAAATGTCTGCGACAAATTTTCGAATTTTGAAATTTTGAAACTGCTATTCTTTCAGATTTTAACAGTAGATTCCAAAAATGCAAACCCAAAGAAAATCGACCGAAAAATACGACTTCTAGAGCCGATTAACTATTCTTGCACATATTGAACTGTGGCACTTCCGGTTTTGCAAAAAAGATCCAAAATATATTTATGCACATCGTCGCCTATATCTAAGGTTCGTGAATGTTGAATGGTTGCTGCAACTATTGTAGTCTAAGCTCAGGAAGGTGTGTAAATTTCGAAAAAAAAAAAAAAAAAACAAAAAAAAAAAAAAAAAAAAACTAGAGCCACATGTGGCACAGAGTGGGGCAAATGTAGCAAATTTCAAAAGACTCTGAAAAAATCAACCTTCTACGATAATTACATCACGCGCAAGAGCAGTCTAAAGTTGAGAAGAATTCTTTGGAAGATTGTTATAACGGAAGTAGACAGACCTCACAAATGAAAGTATCAGAAGATAGCCAAGGTCAATGACATTTGACATTGAAAGGGAGACGGTCAACAAAGGTCAAGGTTACGAGATAAAAGTCATCAAAATTTTTAAATATATACGGCTATAAAACCGGAAGTTGAGATAGGACAGCAAATATAAAAGTATAAATAGATAGCCAATGTG